GGATGGTAGGAGGGACTAGAGGTGGTGTCAGAAAGCTGTGTGTGAAGAAGTAGAGAGACTGTCACAGGAGGGGTGGCAAAGAAAACCAGCCCAACTATTCAGATTAGGATTCGAAATGCCACAGATGTGATTGCATAATAAGCTGTTGAGCGTGCTGGTAAGTGCTGCTTTCAGCATGTGAGTGTTTGTCACATTGTCTTGTGTTCCCAGTGCCAGGCAGGTTCAAGTCAGAAGGTCTGGGATGCTAGCCGCAATTCCAGTTCCTTGGGATGGGCAGCAGCACCTATGGTAGAGATAGCAGAAAGAGCAGCAGCCTGGTGTTCAAATATGGTTGCTAGGATACCATGGAGACCCTCCATTGCTAGGCAGACAGGATAAAAAAATGTGCCCATATGCCTTATAACCTGCAAACAGCAACAATGGAAACAAGGCATGTCTCATTCTACCATTTCCTAGCAAAAATCCAAACCAACTCTTTAATGAAACACTAAATGATGAGGGCTTGGAAATGCAGCCAAGTAGAGCAAGGAAGATGGCTGTTTATATTCCCAGGCAGTCCCTAGATCTACTCTATTTAAGGCTTGTCAGTATTTTCATTATTCATCCCATTTTAGGGGCAAGCAACTTGACTGCACTTCCAAACACCCTAACAGGATATTTAGCATCATGATCCCATATAATATTATGAAGGCTTTGCACAACTTTCTTCCACTGCATAGTCTGTAATGTCAAATTAATGCTCAAACTTAATTGGAAACTATTCTAATAACCTTGGGTCAGAATTTAGCTCCCCCACAGAAGCAGGGGAGATGGGTTTCAATAACTAACAAGATTGCATTCTCATCCATATCAGTCTGTCCAGGTATGTGAGGAATCTGCCGAGTTGGATTATGGCATATAAGTAAACTACTTTCAGTGGTACTCAGAAAGGTATTTGATTTCTTTAAGAGTGGACCTTGGTTTCCTTAAGAGTCTTCACCATCTGCTTTTTGGTTAAGGTTAAATATTTTAACCTAGTTAATATAGTTATGGTGGAAAGTTAGAACCACAGTCTGATATTCAGAGTTTCAGCACTAACTAGCCCTGGTGAAACACACACACACACACACACACACACACACACACACACACGGTTCTTGATCATTCTAAAAGCAAGCCTAAGTTCCTCTTGATCCACTCTATAAAATCATAGAAACTGAGCTTTGGTTCCATTCATGGCGCTACAGGAAAGCCTCTCGCTGCTGACGGCTTGAGTTGTAACATCTCCACATCTCCCCATCCCTTACCCCTCCCTTCACATCATGCCGTGCTTAAATCATGGCAGTCTCACCAGCACAAGACCCTGTACCTCAGTGGAGTTCCTGATACCATGCACTTCAATAGGAGCCACAGCACACACCATGTGTTTCAGTGGACTACTCTGTCTTCCACCTTACTTAGGTGTCTAAAGGTTTACTTGTATAGTATTGTTGAGTCCTTTGCTAACTCTGTAATGGCAAGGCGTATGCACCTTACAAGAATTTCCACATGGAAGGTTTCACAGAAAGATTTTGAGCTGACTTGCAAGGCTTATTAGAAATTTAGTACCTTCACAGAAGTCTATGTTTTAATATTAAGCTGTATATAATCATACTAGAATCCCATGATTTCCATGACTTCCTTCAGAATTAAACACATAGTGTTTAGGGAGACACTGTTTCTCTTGGGATATAATATCAAGGTTTAGGAGATCACATGGGATCTTTTAAATTTTAACTCCTACCTAAAAATAGGAAAAAATACATTTTGCTTCTATCTCCAATTCTTCCAAAGTATTTCACAATCACAAAGTGAAACAGAACAAAACACTTCATTCTCTGAAGTGAAGCCACCTCGGGGGTAAAGGCAATAGCTTTACAAAAACACACAGACATTAACAAGTTTTGATAGGAACTCAAGTTGAGGTAGTCCAACTAAAATGACATAGAAGGCTGTGACAGCAAAACAGAAAAGACTTGGGAACAGTGAGTGCATCTGTAGGAATGAAATGCCATGAAATAAAATTATTTTAGAAGTTCAAGTGACCCATCAGGTTGTCTGATCTCACAGACTGGATGTCTGAGGTTTGTTTGTTTGTTTGTTTCACTGTTAGGGAGCTTTTGCTCAATGTATTTTGGAACATAGAATCAAGTGCTTTTTACATTTTTAAGTAGTTCATTGGCAGCAGGATAATACAGATTCCAATTTGCTACATCAATTCTTCCCTCACATTCATAAATAACCTAAGAAGGGTTTAAAGGTGACATCTATACAGATTGTGAAAGACCAATGCCCCCACTACACCTCACAGGTATAGCAGAAATGTCCTCCCCTGTGGTGGAATCCAACAGAAGCTTTCTTCCAATTCTCACATTAGAGAGAAAAATCCCAAGAAAAAACTGTTAAGATGCTAAAAAGTTATGAGGCTACTTTAAATTTTGTACTGCTTTTTTATCCTCAAATGATCAATGGTTACTAAAATAAAAAAGGAAGTTTTAAAATACTGTAATTCTCAAAAGTCAGCCTCAGTAAGGGAACACTAGAGGATATGTTCCGTTCATCAGTTGGTCATTAACTACACCTACTGGAAAGATAACCAAAAACAAAGAGGAAAGTGGTAGCTGAAATAAATTCCAGTCTACTTAGATAGTTTCCCTTCAACCTTAACTTAATCTTTAGGAAAGTGATTAAATTTAAGTTGCACTAAAGATTAAAGAAGTAAACACTTGTTGACAGTAAGTCTGAATAATAAAAAGAATCAAACAATATACGATAAAATGCAAAAAAATGTTTTAGGGTGTCACATTTTTTGTACTTCTATGTAGAGTTGTCTTGTACGGTCACTCAAATGGCATAGGATAATAACTATTTTGCATACAATACACTTCTTTTCCCCTAAGAAAGGTACACTACCACTCAAGGCAATTTTATTTCGGTTTCCTTTATGTAAGTGTGAAAAAAAAGAACAGATGTTTTTCCAAAATTATTTAAACTTGGAAGACATTTTATCATTTTTCTTCAGTATAATCCTTCAGAATTAGAAAACTCACATGGCAATACCACCTTAACAATGGGGTCCTGAAAGTTATCAAATAAGGACCAGAGTGTAAAACATGTTCAACATACACAATCTTTGTCCTGCAGGGATACTACAAAGAATGTGCTTTTCTAATGTTATTGTCTACTGTGGAATTTTACAAAAACACCAGTGCCCTGTGTCAAACACCGAGAGTCTTCTAAACATACCACATTCTACAGTTCATTCCTGCTGCCTGGATTTCTTTAGACTTTCTCAAATAGAATGCTTAAGTGGAGTTATCAGCTGGATTGATCATACTCTGTCTAAAAGTCTATTAAAAATAGTCTTTTTATAAGAGCAGTTTGTTCTTGGTAACTCCAAACTCCAGCAGATACTAAAATGACAATCCTACAGACTGTTTAAAGATACAAAGCGCTGTCTCTGAGTTACATTTTCATTATGCAAAACTTGGCCCAGGAGAGATGGCCATGTACCTTGTTAGCTGAAACAGGCGAACATGCCAGCGACTGCAAATTAATTTACCAAAGGAAACTCCAATGGATTCAGATCACTCAGTTTCTAAGACAAATTGAAATCAGCTGATCTATGATGGCAACTTGGTAAGGTTGGGATTTCAGAAATATTTATATTATCTGTGTCAACTCTCCTGTACTCCACAGAATTCAAACTCCATCAGCTAAGCCTGCAAATGATTCATGGGAGCCAACATGTATAGATTGGGCTTGTAAGTTTTCAAAAAAGTGTACGTAGTATATACTCATGACCCCTCCCATCCAAGAAATACAAATGGAGATAACCAAGTCTTCACTATCTCCTCTTATGAATTCCTTGTGTTTAGGAAGTAAAGGTTTCTCGGGGGCCTTCTGTTATTATGTAACACGTGTCATCCAGCCGTGTTATGTAGTTAAGAGCAGGACAACAGAATCCTCGGCTTTACCAATTATGTCATTACTATTAATTAAAATGCCATTCAGATGGTGTTCTGGTTCTGCTGCCGTCCTGTCCCTGATGCTCGCTCTCCATATGGACTCTGGGGTTGAGTGTTGTGTAACAAGTTTCATTCAGTGTTCCCATCCAAGTTATGAATCCTACTGACATCAGAACTACACTGCTCTGTAACATGCTAGAACAGCGGCAGAGTGGCTTTAGACCTGAGTGTGAGGCGCAGCAGGGGAAATAACGTGGGCTTGACCACACTGGCCCTGAAAATACATGAGCCCTATAGGGAAATGTTCATTAGGAATCATGTGAGAATTCTTTTAGAAAAACAAATCATATTCTCTCTCAGATATTATGAAAACATTTTTAAGAATCAACAGACTAGGCTTCCATTTATGGATTGTAAATGTCATCCAACTCAGGAAATTTTTAAAAAATCTTCTGTTTTATATGTATATTGACTTATTCTTTTACACTTTGATGGTGAGAGAACATCAGGTTTGAACAGTACCAGCCTGAAGTGCCGGCGGCATGTAGAAAAATCCAGGAGAGCCACAAGAGCGTGGAAAGTCAGGGTAATATCAACGCATTTCATTTCAGTCTGATGAGCCTGCAGTTAGGATTTTCCGGCTGGCCAGGTTGGCTGGGGCTTTGGGAAAGACGGGGTTCTGATTCCTCCATTCAACAGTCACTCACACACACCGTCAGACACACACCTGGGGCGCGTCCAAACTCTATGTACAGTAGGTGGCATATATGAACGTATATGTATATTTTAAAAATACCTTGGCATCTGACAAAGACACGAAGGCAACGGATGTGCAGGGAGTCTGGCCCTGAGAAACGTGCACAGCCCCTCAAGAAGTGCCGTGAAAATGAGACATTTCTGAGGATGAGGACAGACATGGCAAGCGGGAGGGGCAGGGGCCGACAGACAATACAGAGACCCGCAGCTCCCCACCGCCAGGGCGCCACATGGACCCAGGCGAGTAACCCTGCTTACTGTGGGCTCTTGGGGTAGAAGGGCAGGGTCACGTGGCTGAGATCCTGGATGTCGAAGGCGGTGGGCTCCGCGGAGATCGCCTGGCGCTTGGTGCGCGGTTCACCCTGCAAGGTGCTGGCGCTCTGCTTCTGCGCCTGCTGGGTGGCGGGCCGGATCACCGAGCGGTACTTGTCCAGTTCGTTCTGCAGCTTCTGGATCAGTTCGTCCTTCTGATCCAACTCCAGCTCCAGCTCATCGATGAGAGCATCCCGCTGCCTCAGCTCCTCGATCTTCTCCTGGAGCGCATACTGTAAATCCCGCAGGGTGCCCATGCTCCTCCGGGCTGCCGGGGGCTCCTTCCTGCCGCTGCTCCGCGTCTTGGGGCTTCCTCCCCTCTCGGATCAACTTTCCCTAAAGTCGCCGCTGCCTCGCGAGTGCAAAAGCTTCCTTCGACTTGAGACCAAAGCCAAACCTGGCTTCTGAGCATGCCCAGTCTGCCGCTCCAGCCACCGAGAGTTTCAGTGTGCAGATTCCACTTCTCCGGGTTTAGGGATGAGCAAAACAGGTCCAGCCCAGATGAACCTGAAAGGCGGTGGGCGCCGCGGTGCCTGGGGGAGCAGAGCCTGGAGGCGCAGTGACCCGCGGGCGGGAGGAGGGGGCCTGGGCTTGGAGGAGGCGGCTGCTCAGCGAGGGTCACCAGCGCCGGGTGCCAAAGGAAGCCAGCGATGTGTGTGGGGAGCCTGATAAAGCTCGGGGGCGCTGGGGCTGTGCGGGCGGAGCGAGGCTGGAGCGCTACTTTGGAGGTGGAGAGGTGGGAGGGAGAGGACCCAGAGCAAACTGGAGAGGCGTCGGCGGGCTCCGGCTCCAGAATGTGGGGCTAGGTTCCTGTCGACCAAGAAAGGCAGCGGGGACTGTGTATGCTAACAGCTCTGACTTCTGGAGGGATTGTGACCGCAGCCTCACAGAGGAAAGCGGTGTAACTGAGCTCTGGCGTCCCTCAAGCCACCTTTCCCACCGGGAGCGCCTCATACAGGTGTCTAACGCTTGTAAAGAAACTTGCCTCTCCGAAGGTGAGGGAGGGATTCCCCAGACATCTAGTAGTAGCCTTTGGGGAAGGTTAGGGGTGGGGTATCTGACTTCAGCCAAACAAGCCTCCCACTCTCCCAGTCTCCCCTTTTCTGCACTGGTCAAACTCAGATCAATGAATTCTTCTAGGGGCAAAGGCCAAACCCCAAACGAATTTGGGCCAGAGAAGGCCTCTTAGCTGCTCCCTGGTCCCTGCCATTTGTGCTAGCATCAGTTGCAGAGCGGTGCACTGGAGGCCTGGCTTCTTCCATTTGCTGGATTTGGTGAAGTGGGTGGGGGCTTAAAAATCACAGCGGAGTTCCAAAACATTCTTACAGAAAGGGAACCACATCTTTTAAATGCTACTTCAGTGACAGCCCGCAGTTAATGGGGGATCTTTGCCAACTTTGGAGAAGAGGTAAAATCAAAAACTGATGGGAAAACTGCAGGAGCCTTAATTGCACTGTACCACCTCTCTCTCTCTCTCTCTCTCTCTCTCTCTCTCTCTCTCTCTCCGTTCCCCCTCTTTGTCTCTCCCCACCACCTCTTCACCAGCAAGACATCTCAGTGTGGGGCTAGAATTCTGGCAAGGAGGGGGCAATCTAACAGTCCAAGAGTTGGTTTCTCATCTTGGGAACACTTATTTAGAACGCCCAAAATATTTATTTGATGCTTACATAAGTGCCTAATAGTTAATTAAACCTTCATCGGTTCTTCCAAATTTATATTTTTTTTTAATTGAGAGCTTTAATTTACTGTTCTTCCACACTCTGTGTTATAATCTCAGTGTTCTATCTGTCCACCCTTTAACACTTAAACAAAAGAGATGGAAAATACATTAAAACTAAATTGCAGTACACAACTACTGCCTGGAATCTCAGATTAGCCAAGGACACAAATCTATCTCAAAAAAATAAAATTGCTCATTTATTCCCTTAAGCACACAGCTTTCTGTATCTGAGCTTTACAAAATAGGAAAAAGAAAGCCTAGCCACTGGCATATCAACAAGCTTTTTCTTTTCTTTACTTTTCTTCTGTCCTTCCTTCCTTCCTTCCTTCCTTCCTTCCTTTCCTAATTTCAAGTCTGCTTCTTGGTAATTAGAGGTGCAAATGAAAGGGATATGCAACCCTACACACTTTCCACAAAGACTGTGATTTCATTCTCTCGATAGATGATGTCATGTTCATTCTTTCCAACAGGAAGCTGTGGAGGACATTTGCTTCAGAATGTAATCTAAAAAAGTGCACAGGTCATGAAACATTTTCAAAAGATAACAGTAAATAAGAGTTCTGAATTACTGCTGTTTTCCTTAGAAGTCAACTGAGCGGAAGTACTGTGACTTTGTATGACTGATGGCATCCTTGGGCAGCATTCTTCTGGGACAATCTCCTCTTCCCAGGCAAAAGTCCAGAATTTTAGTTAACCTGTGGGAATGTTCTACTTCCCTGGGAAAATGTTTCATGCTATTTTTTCTTATGATTTATTTGGGGGTCTATAAAGCCAGGAGTTTATGTCTAAAGATGTATAAGAAGCAATGGACAAGAAAACTTTGTTTACGGTCTTTCTTGAGGCTTAAATGAGGTTCCTTAATGTCTCACCACACAAGAGAGGGGACATATTGCCTTGCTTGTAAAAACCTCGTCTACAAGGGAAAGAAGGGAAGAAAAAGTAGTAAATTGTTTCCTACCTCACAAAAAGTATGTTTAAACAGCACTTAAGCCATAAATAATCAGGATTTTTATCAAAGTGAAGTTTTGCAATACTAAACTGTATACTTTTCTTAAGTAACAGAAAGCCCACAAACTATAGCAGCATGAATGCCAGTCACAGTCTCATTTGAAATAAAATGCTCAAATTTCAAAAAGTGTTCCATGATGGATCTGACTTTAAGAATCAGGGATCTGCTGCAAGAAACACAAAGAAAGTGAATGGTTGAAAAGAGCTGCCGATTTCAAATGGCTTAAACTTTGAAAGGGGCTCAAGGCACAAAATATATTGTTACATTTGCCTTTATTACAGAGAATATTGAATTTCTCCCAAGACCTTTATACCTTTTGCATAACTTAGAATTCTTGGATTTTCTCTGTAATTAATAAGATGGTGATAAATATTATACATTGATTTTTTGAGGGATTGCACATACCATGGTGAACATGTGATGGACAAGTGACAGACAACTCACAGGTGTTATTCCTTTCCTTCCACTACAGGAGTCCTGAGGGTTTGAACTCAGTTCCTTGGGTTAGCACATGCCTTTACCCACTAAAACATCCTCCTGGCCCTCAAATGTTTTAGCTAATTTGTTCAAGCATGTTTTTAGCTGGTTTTTTAGATTGTAAGTGATAAAGTTTTGATTTGTTTGGGTATTGTTCTTAACCAATGCTGGAAATAAATTTTATTTGAAATACCAAGGTCCTGAAATTATTTTTCAAGAGATGAATTATTTTTACTCTGCATCCATGGAAAATTTTAAAAATTATGTTCATTTGTGTGTGTGACTGTCAGTATGCACATATGAATGCAGAGATTTTCGGTGGTCAGAAGAAGCTGCCCTATCCCCTGAGGCTGGACTTTAAGGTGGTTGTGAGCTGCCCTATATAGGTGTCTCTTTTGGTTTATTGCTTTTATGGAAACAATTAACATTCGTTTCCTATGAATTAAGCACAATAATTCGAGCACTTACTCTTTTCTTCACGCATAGAATTAAATTAGTCTTATAATTGCAGTGGGGAGGGATATTTGATTATAAAGAGTCTACATTGGGGTTAGGGAGATGACTCAGAGGTTAAATTCAGTGGGTGTTCTTCTAGGGGACATGGGTTCAGTTTTCAGCACCCACACAGTAGCTTGGAATGATCTGAGGCCTTCTATCCTCCATGGGTACCAGGCATGTAAACAGTATACACACATTCAGGCAAAACACCCACTGGCATAAAATAAAATTAATTTAAAATTGAAATAAAATTCTAAGTATATATTTAAATATATATAAGCAACAATTCTAATGGTTGGACTGTTTTAAAGTCATGTTACTTCAAATAGTAAGTTCTGAATGGAAAAGAGAAGAAGAGAAGAGAAAAGAAAAGAAAAGAAAAGGCATTGATAAAAAAAAAAAAAAAAACCTTCCTTCAGTGACTTGGAAAGCCATAGTGCTCTACATTGAAATTGCTAATGTGCTTAGCACTTAATACTGAATTAGTGTCATGCCTGATATTAGCTGAAATGTATCCTCATAGTCGTTGGCTCAAAATGGTGGTAAGTTATTGTTGGACCTTAGGCTAAAGCAGTCTTTATTAAAACCCAGGCACTAAGAGAATGAATGTTCTTTATATACTCATTAGTACACTGTGCATTTCTAATGCCAGAAGGAGAAGATTTTAAGAGGAAAGGGATTGTGTTCTTCACAAATGTAAATCATAAAATGGATAAAACATAATTTAAAATACTTTTTAAATTCAGGTACATGCTTTTAATCCCAGCAGTTGGGAGATAAGGAGCAAGGACCTTTTGTTCTGAACTAACCTGGAATACATAGTGAAATGATCTCCAAAAAGCAAAGGCTTCACAAAAAAAACTTTTTATAATATTTTCAAATTATTTGTTTAATTTTTTCTGTGCATGAGTAGATAGATAGATAGACAACAGACTCACAGACTCGTGTGTGTGTGTGTGTGTGTGTGTGTGTGTGTGTGTGTAGATATATATGAGTACCGCATGCAGGTGCAATGACAACAGAAGTCTGAAAAGGACCTCAGATCCCTGGGAACTGAGACTATGGCTGTGAGCTGCAGTGTGGGAACTGAGAACCAGCCCAAATCCTCCGCAAGAGCAGCGAGTGCTCTAAGTCTCTGAGCCACCTCTCCAGCCTGGCTTTGCAACATCCAATTGTCTGCCCTTCACAATTAATGAATTACACTTCCTCCATTCCAATTCAGTGGTTCTGGCATATAAAATCTACATAGTTTCCTATTTTAAAGTGTTAAGATTTTCCACAAAAATATTCTGAAATATTTCCTGTTAGTCCTTAATGGGCAGTGCCCATGTGTGATTCCATGAGGGCCTGTTACCTTACTGGAAAATCTGAAATTGAAATTGTGTGTTTCAACAAACATCCCTGTGAGATGTAGTTCTTTTTAGTACTAGTGAATTTTGTCTGTTTTTTCTATAAAATGAGAATTTTAGATGTCCATATTATGACTTTAGAGGCTGTTAGAAATGTGTTTAAAATGTTATAATTTTAAAAACTCTGAGAATCCCTGTGGTACT